CAGTGGTGATTTTTCAGAACTGCTTTAGGTCTAGGCTGAGTCAGCTTGCTGCTCAGAAATGCTATGTGAGAGTAGTGGAAAGAGGAATGTAAAGTCTTGAGCCCTGAGCCTTAGGAAGAGTGACAGAGCACGACTGCTGGTGTCTTAGCTGCTCTAGTAGGTAAGTTAATTCAGCAATTTCTTGCTTTGTACCTGAAGGATGAAGAAGGTACTTCGGAGTTTCCACTTCCAGCTTCCTGTTCTGTCAGACAGTGAAAAAGATATGAAGAAAGAACTGCAGGCAATACATGACCAGCTGCAGCACTTGAGCAATGCCATCAGACAGGTGAGGTAACGAATCATCTGGCTGGTGACACCAACTCCCTCACACCCAGCGACGGTGCTGACAGAACAGAGTCCTTCCAATAGAGTGGCTTTGTACTTCTGTTAAATTAGCAACATCATCTCATCCTAGTAATTCAGACAGAACCTCTGCAAGCCAGTATAAACCCTGAGAAAGTCTACACACCTTCCTCAGTCTTAGCACTAGTGTTCTCTTCTCTTTGTGGGAAGAAATGTGCAAAAGCAAGCAGATTTTAACCCAGAAAAAGCATCTGAATTCATTACAGTATGACACACCAGTTTGTAACTATAACTGGCTTTCACTTTGGCAGCAGTACCAACACTGACTGGGGTCTTTTTTTTTTGTATGTGACTTCTAGGTTAAAATGAAAAAGGAATACCAGCAGAAGAAGATGGAAAAGGGTACCAGGCCCCGAAAACCCAGCATCACCCTCAGTGCCTACCAGAGCAAGTGCATCCAAACCATCCTGAAAGAAGAGTAAGTTAATGCTTGGATCCTCCTGTAGAACTCAAGCCCTGGCCCTTACTTAAGCAATTCCGTTCCAGTTTCGAGGGTACCATTTAACCTCTGGGCTGCTTGAGGGGCTGACTGATGCTCCAGCTGGAGCTTGTTGAAAGGGCCTGAAGCATAAAGTGTGCCAACTCGTGACAGCAGTGCTGGCCATCTTATGCTGCTATTAAACTAAATCTGCTTTAAGTCTGCTTTTTGCCTGAGGATCTTTTGGCAGTCTGTATCCAGCCTCTAATTAACAAAATGATTTGCAACAGTGCTCCCATTCTCTGCTTCTATCATATGAGGCATTTCCCTTCCTGATTAGTCTCCAGCAAAGATGACTTAAACAGCCTTGTGATGTGAATTTCTTTTTCTTGAAGGGGAGAACACATAAGGGAAATGGTAAAACAGATCAATGACATCAGAAGCCATGTGAACTTCTAATGTGTCCATGATGAGAAACCTACACCGCAAGGCTGGGCGAGCTCTCATTTTCTCTGGTATTTCCTCTTGTACATTTACCATTTGTATGTTGAATAATATGCCTTTTACTTATTATTTTGTAAAGATGGACTGTGAAATAAAATACTTTTGATAAGACTCCTTACACGCTATGGATTTTTTTTGTTTTTCTCCTGGGAAGAAGATGGTGCAGCGGGGAATTTCATACCAAGCACGTTAGTGTGATACTTACAGCTAGCTCAGTAGTGTGGGAATTGCTGCTTCCTTCAGAAAGCTGCCTGGGGTTACTCTGGGAGACTTCTCCTACCCTTGGTCCTTGGCATGGTTACTGCCGGGGAGGCCAGTGGCACAAGGCTGAGTAGAAAGACCAAAGAAGCGCACACACTTCAGCAGCTTTTTTTAATTTGGAACACTTTCTTCATCAAGGACACACCTTCAATACAGTTAACAAATGGTTACACTTGAATCCTGTAGACAGCAGAATTCTACATCCACAATTGCACAGGACACTAATGGCTCGGTTCACTGGAATGCAGTATTAGCTTCCAAACACTCAGTCTGCCTTTATCAAAAGATGGCTCTGGAGTCCATATTGACATTAAAAGGCCAATTATTTATCTGCTGTAGACAAACTGTAGTGGACAATAAATAATTGTCCCCTGCCCCTTAGAAAAGGTGACATGGTCAAGCTCAGTTTTGAAAAGTAGTACTGCACTGCTACAAAAGTGGCACAGTAAGAGGTGCCAAAGTAAAGCTGTAGGGAGAGGAGGGCTGTTAGTACCTGTTGGGTAACAGGGTTACCAGACATGCTGCAAGAAAGAACACTCTTTTATTGTACAGATTAAGACTATACAAGTATAGGAATGCATACAAAACTTGATCACGTCCCTTGTCCATATGAACAGAAACCCATTTTCCGACCCACTCAACCCGTGTAGCATAGCTGACCTGCCAGGTTAGAAGTAGTGCCTGTTAAGAATATCTTACTAAGTGAGGAGAATCTAACACCCTACGCAAATCAAGTTCCAGAACACCAAGACCTGAAGAGAAGAGCATTTGTTTTCTGTTTTATGAGCAATACCACCATAATCCATCCAGTGATAACAGATAACACAAGAGCTTTTACTGTTCACAGCGTTTTAAATTTGCTCTGCAAATTTGGCACACACTGATTCGTTTTGTTGTTCAAAGGCCCCTTTTAAGTTTCCAAAATTCAGCAGAAGCTCGAGTTACTGCTGCTGAAGCTGGGCTTTCCTTCCCCGGGGTGGGACACAGCCCCCTGGGTCGGCAGCACAGCTGTCTGCAGTGAGCACATCTCCCACCCCTGCTGTGAATGGGCAGGCTTCCAATTTAAAAGTAAGAAATGTGCACTGGTTGGTGAAAAAGATCACTCGCGTTCCAACTGCAGAATGGCCAGGGCTAGTACTTAAACAGGAGTAAAGGTGCTCGGGTGCTTGATGGAGTAAGGTGGTAAAACAGAAACCAGCCATACAGAAAGTGCAGACCCTTCCTCTCCAAAACCAAAGGAAGTTCCTTTGCTGACTTGCCCGCTGCCTGGTTTAAAAAGCAAGGAAGCCAGCACCAGCCCTTCCAGGTGATGTCTCATCTCAGCCCATGCCCTACCACGTACGCCTCCAGCCTCTAACTGGACAAACACGCCATCGTTGCCACTGAGAAAAATACACAAGCATGCATACGAACACGCACACACACATGCAAAACTCCATTCTGCAACTGTTGTACTCGCTACCAGGTCTATGAAAGATCACAAGCTGATCACCCGCTCACCTGCCTTCCCCTACCAACTGCAGAGACACTGCAGCCACCTGCAATGTGACACCACCATACCTATGGAAAGCCAAGTCAACAATTTGTAAAAAATACACTAAAGAAAAGCTACACCAACCCCGTACGATTGGAAACGGTCAGCTACAGCCGAGGTGGTTTAGAACAGGCAGGCAGGGCTGCTGAGGATGGGACTGACACAGGGGCCAGAAAGGGATGCTGAAGGGCCATCAGTCAACAGCTGCTTTCCTTGCTCTCTTGCACTAGGAGGACAGTCCAGAAATTCACCCAAAATGTCTTTTCCTGCATAGGTCTTCAGGTGCAATTCCTCGAGTGTTCAGCTTGCTGAAGAAATGTATAGGATTTGTTGTAGTTTCGCCATACAACACCAGGCTTCCTTAAACACTGCTGCACAGGTTCAGTATCAGTAACCAGTTACGAGTTTTTGGGAAGAAAGGGAACATAGGAAAAAAGCTTTTCATCTGCAGTTCCTAATAAAGGCCTATTTTTTTCACCCAAAGTTTTCTGAACAGAATAGGACCCTACTCATTGGAAAACAGAATGCAAAACAGCTGGTATTGGATTTACGCATCAGGAGGCAGCTGCTGTCACCTCACAACTGAACAAATAGTGAGAAAGGTTAAAAGACCCAAACTCTGGTTAAAGCCAATTAATAAAGAACCTAAGCCATATTTCAATTGAAGTGCAAGTGAAATCGTCATCGTAAGAAGATGACAACTCTGCCATCTCTTAGTCCAGTCATTTCTAAGGTAGGGAAAATGGCTTCTGGGTGACAGAATTATGAAAGGAATTAATTGCTGGCATGAATAAAGTGAATCAATTCTTGCAATGAGTGACAAGGAATTGAGCTTGTATGCTTCTTTTTGGCTGTTTTTAAGGCATTCCTCTTCAAAACCACTGGTTCTAATTTTATGTCAGTAGCAGGATATACCTGCTAAAAATAGGATTTAAGCACTTAAATACAAATGAGTAAGTAGGGGCCAGTTCAAGAACTCAGTTTGTACCACCAGTATGATCAATACCTGCAACCATACATGAAACCGTTGCTATTCAACCGTGTGCATGAAAGTCCAACAAAAGGAGAAAAAGGAGGAATGGTCATGTTACCACCACACATTTATAGAACAAGAAACCCAAACCTAGCACCTCATTGATCACAAGAATTTCTTGCCTCTGCTGTCATGTTACATAGTGCAGTTTAAATGTACAGTTACAGAAATATGGGACAGTGTAGGAGCCAACTCTGAACAATACCATGATACCATACTCCAAAGTAAGAGATGCACTGTACCTTTCAAGCTTGAACCAGCAGAACAACGCAGCTCCAGCGCATTTGTGCCCTCTGACTGAGGGGGCAGTCGCTGTTTTGCACATGACTGCGCTGACTCAGGAGAGGTGGGTCAAGCTGACTGCTGCATTCAGCACCTTACCTCGACACCTCTCAGTGAGAGCTGGCAAATCTACACCTGGTGTCACCCATGGAGCAAAGCAGACCTGCGTAAACCCCATGCTAATGCTCAGACAATGCACAGAATTTACTAGCTTTTTTTTGTTTGTTTCTCTCCTTAAAACACAGAGAAGGGATTACAGGTACTGCTCAGCTTTAGAGATGGGAAACAACCAGCTGTAGTTCCATATTCTAAATTATATTTGTGGAAAGAGATTACAAAACAGTGCATTTCTTGTGCTTTTCTTTAAGTATCAGAACTCAATGGAAAAGTTTCAAGGAGCTAAATTCTCAGTACATTTTTCTTTTTTCCGGATTATCTGCTCAGGAGACACACAGCTCACTCACGTCCATCACAGCTTTCAGCAGCAGCTTTCAGATTCTTCAACACAAAGTCAATGGCAAGAAAAAAAAACGTACTGAGTTATGAAATAAGATCAATATCCAGTGTCCTGCTAATAAAGTCATATTTTAATATAAAATATTCATACAGCATACTCTACACCTCATTCTCTCTGCTAGCTGAATACTGTTACTGACTATTCAAACAGAAAAACTTCAACCACTTTGCTCTTCAATGTTTTGGAGGGACAATATGGTTTCCAGCAGCTACTTTGATCACAGTAGTAGGGGGAAAGGAAAGAGGGAAAGACTGAGGGTAAATGTTCCAAAACGTTATAGTAGGTTATGAGGTCGGCTGAAAGAGGGGAAGTTTTTCAGAATGTAAGGACTGATCCCACTCAGTGGAACACAAAACACCACACTCATTAGTGTTTCCACTAGAAAGTTCTCCTTCCTACACTGCAAGTCACCCCGTGCTCTCTTTCCGCCCAGTACAAAAACCTTTTTCCCCTCTAGAAACAAAACTTAGTCATTGCTCCCCTCTGTTGTCTTCTGCTCTTTCGGTTAGAGTTAAATAATAATTAATGTTGCTATAAAGATGAGTTAAAAACCCCAAACGCAGCCTTGGAGCCCGCTCATCAGGGTGTCATGTTTCAGGAAGCTGATTAATGTCCGTCAGTTTTGTGTCATTCAGGATTGCACGGATTCTCTCCAGGGAATCTGCCTGCCGGATCCGCTCCAGCTGCACCTACAGAAAACCAACGGCTGCAGTGAGCTGGTGAAACGTACCACCGCACGACCACAGACCCACCACCAGACCTGACCCAACAGGCAGTGTCAGCAACCCCTCGTGCCCTGTGCAAGCAGAAGAGAGATCAAATTATCATCAGCTGGAAAATGCAAGGCATGAAGGAGCACAAACTTAATTTAGAACCAAGAATGGGAGGAGAGAAGACAACAGGCAGTTGTGTTTTTACAGTAACAAGCCACTTTCTGGAGGAGTCGGGCAAGCCTTCATCACCACTCTGTGCTTTCCCTCGTAACGAGTCACTAATAACCACACTGGCCAGGCAAACGGGAGGGGATGTGCAAAGCAATGTAAACTTTCACAGAAAGAATGTAAAGGAAACACAGACCTGCCTAACACTTGCCTTCAGGTTTCTCAAGATCACAACTAAAATGCTCTTGGAGGAAATGTTCCATTTCCAAGATCACCACTTGCTTTTCTAATCATCTGTCTCAAGCAATTTCTTATAAGCTCTGATTGAGCTCCGTACTGAAGGCCTACTACACTACCTGCAAGTTTTGGAAGAGTGTGCCACACATCTTCAAAGTGGTGTCTAAGCTTTTGCTCTAAGAACTGCATAAACCAGTGCATGCAGTACGTTAAAAAAAAGATTATGACAAGCAAGAAGCAACGTCACCAGCCAGGAAAACTGAATGGTCTCCTTTGTGCTGCCTACTCCTCCAGAAACAGCCAGAACAAAAGAGGACAGTTCCTTATTGTCCATCCAGCTAAACTCTGTCTAGTAAACAATCTCTTGTATTCCTGTTTTAGTTTTCCAAATAAACCTGAACACTTGACTCAAAAAGACTGTATTTTTAATTCTGCTGAATTTTACCAAGCAGACTGGCCAAAACCTCAAAGAACACAGTGCTGAAATCCAGCACCTCCTTTGTGAGCAAGATTTCTGGTAAGCTGGAATGTGTGGGGGGGTGCAAATTCTAAAAACACAGACACTGAAGGTGAGATCAATCTCGCCTGGCTCCCTGAGGAGACAGTTCATCACTCTGCAAACACAAAACCTGCAGGTCTGTTCACACTCTCTACAGTGAACAGAAACAGAGATCAGCCTGACAAACTGGAATTAGCCTCGATGAACTCCCCTGCCAAAACTCCTTCCTTCAGCCACCACACAGTACCTCATGGCCAACAACAGGTTCCACTTTTTGGAGGAAATACAAGGATAGCAACAGTGACAATAGCGAGGATAAAACTTTCAGATAGTATAAATAGAAAACAGTAAATATAACACGAAGAACCATTTGACATATTCAGATCAAATGGGACCAGTTCTGTAGTCCTCAAAATTTTTGCACCCTAGTGATTTGCTCTGAAAAGTAACATACTGGAAAAACATGAGATGGACAATGAAATGCTAGAGTCCAAAGGTACCCTTATTTATGGCTCTCTACATCTCTATTATTTTTTAATAAAATAATTGTGTATCTTTGCTGCCAAGAACTGGTTGGAATCAAGTGATCAGTAAAAAAATCCCCATTAGTATTATTTAATACTAATATTATACTAGGAATACTCGATCACTCTATTATACTAATAACATCTAAAATAGTTCATAAATACCAAAAAACCAAAATTTACAACTGCTACTTCTAATTCTATACAGCTCTGGAGAAGTAAAGAAGCTAAAGGAGCACCTTACAAATTGATTGCACTTCCCTTACCTGAAGCGTCTGAGAAAGCTTTACAAAATCTCTCTGCACTTGCTCACTGACATCTAATTCAGTCTGCAACCGCTGAGCTTTATTCTTCTCTTCAAACACCAGCTGCTCAAGGTTTGCCTGAAGAGAAAGAGATTCTTTATGCTGTGCTTAAACTGAATTGAAAAAGGAGCAGCTTATATAAACTGATTAAACCATGATACTAGAGTAAAGCAGCATGGTTATTCTCAGAGTCCTGGCAAGAAATGAAACGAGAACTCTTTTTATACCTCAGTTTTCTTATACTGCAAAATCAGGGGCTAATACTCATCAGACAAACATTTGCATGATTAGATTGGTTAATGCATGAAAAAGCCCCATGTCTTTTAACAGCATTATGTCCAAGGATCCCAAAATAAAAAAGCAGGTTTCTGAGTTTTAATGGAACATGACCTGACCATAGATGAAGGGCAGTAATCTGCTAGTGAAAATCTGTCTTAAGTTTTAGTCAAAAAAGTCTTTGGTAGAGAGGGAAAAAAACCCCAACCCCCCAAATAAACAAACAAAAAAAACCCAACACTGAAAAAAAAAGAAGAGAAAAACATTAGATCACAATTAATTCATCTGACTGCCAAAGTAGGGCTCCTTCCTACAGCAACAACATTACATTTATTCAAAAGTATCAAAGCATTCAAACCCAGGTCTGGTTAGTCAGGAAGCTTTCTATATGCAGAAATGATACTGAAGCCAAACTTTGGAAGACAATCCAAAAGAGAGATTCAAGTTAGCAGCATTTCAGATGCACTGCTTTACAAGTCCAAGTGCAAAGTGACAGGGATGAGGATTTAAATCACATCCAATGGACATGACTGCCAGTTTTATCAACACTCAAAAGCTTCCTTTTCCATTATGTAGCGATACATTCTCTGATCACCGTAAAAGATGTACATACACTTCATATCCAGACATCATAGCTACCTTTGCTGCCGTCTCCTTCTTCAGCTGTTCTTCCAGAGTGTTTTTTGTTTCCTGCAGACTCTCCAGCTGCTGCAGGTTTTCCTGCGAAGAACTTTCCAACTACATTACAATAATAAAAGAAGTATTAACTAAAACTCCTAACATTTCAATTTCTCACAGTCCCTCCATACAGGAAGTATAGCCTAAGTGTTTTTCAAAGTACTCAAAAACAAACCTCAATAAACAGTCCTATGTATGCAGATATGTGTGTCTCTCTAGAACATTTCTTTCTCTCCACTTCTTTCTTTTTGGAGCTGGAGAGAAATGACCAAGCCTGACTTTAGGTTATTGCTAGGTAGCCTAATACTATTTAGGAATTAGTTAACCCAATATTTAGATTACAGATTAATAAACAGAAAAAACACCTTTTAAGGAACAGAACCATGAACGCGTCCCAGTCCTACAGTGACATCAATGCAGCTATTCTGTCCCTCAAAGATCCACGTGTGACCTTATGTGTTGCCTTTGAATGGCACCGAAAGCTACACAGGCGCAGGTACAACACAGTGCATCTGCACTCCTAGTTGATACCAAGAGTTGCAACAGACTGAGAGCATCCAGGACAGTGTCAGTGCCTTCAGTGAGAAAAGCTGTGCAAATACACAGACAGATGTTCCTTCTTACAGAAAGGATGTGTTACCTGTGCAAATAAGGCAGCCCTCCAGCAGCCCACAAGCAGGTCGAGACGAAGGATGAATAATGTGATGTGTTTCAGAATT